GTTCCAGGGATGAGCGTAGGGATATGGAAATACATCCGTTGTGAACCTGTTCCACTGGTAGGCAAATTGCACGGGATCAAGGCAGGCTGGGCGGCTAGAGTTGATGTGGGCCGTGACCAGACTTTCAAAGCACTTCATGATTATGGAGGTCAGAGCCACTGGGCGGTAGTCATTAAGACAAGTTGCATGTGTTTTCTTTGGTATTGGGATGAAGGTGGTCTTCTTGAAGCAGGTGGGGCCTTCAGATTATAGAAAGGAGAGGTTGAAGAATTCAGCAAGTACTTCCTCCAGCTGGTCTGCACAGGATTCAAGTGCACAGCAGAGGGAATTCCAGGATTTTGACGCAACAACAGTGAAGCAATGGTGATACATTTCAAAGTTAGAATGGCGAAGGATGACTTGGAGGGGAACGTGGAGGAAGTGGCATGCTGATGTATCTGTTGCCCTTGTCCTTTTAGATGGAAGTGATCGTGGGTTTGGAAGGTGCTGTCTGAGGATCTTTGGTGAATTTCTGTATGTATCTTGTAGATAGTACACACTACTGCTACTGAGCATCGGTGGTGGAGGGAGTAGATGCAGGGCCAATCAAACAGTCTGCTTTGTCCTGGGTGGTGCCAAGCTTATACTCACACAGTAATACTGCATGGAAACAGACCCTTCGGCCTAACTCATCCACGCCAACCAGACATCCCAATCTGATCTAGTCACATTTGCCAGTGTTTGGTCCATTTCCCTTTAACCCCTTCCTGTTCATATAACCATCCAGATGCCTTTTAAACATTGTAATTTTACCTACCTGTTACACTTGCTATGGCAGCTCAGTTGCCACATTGTCAATCTTTCCCCTCTCACCTTAAACCCATGCCCTCTAGTTTTGGACTACATCACCCTAGGAAAAGGACCTTGGCTATTCACCCTATCCATGCCCATCATGATGCTATAAACCTCTATAAGGTCAACCCTCAGCCTCCGACACTCCGGGGGGGGGGGGGAAAGCACCAGCCTGTTCAGCCTCTCCCTCTAACTCAAACTCTCCAGTCCTGGCACCATCTTGTAAATCTTTTCTGCATCCTTTCAAGTTTAACAACTTCCTTCCTATAAAAGAGCGACCAGAATTGTACGCAGTGTTCTAAAAGTGGCTTCACTGTTGGCCTGTACGGCCGCAACTTGCCTTCACAACTCCTGTACTCAGTGTTCTGACAAATGAAGGCAAGCCTGTCAAATGCTTTCTTCACCACTCTGTCTACTTGCGACTCCACTTTCAAGGAACTATGCACCTCCACCCCAGGTCTCTTTATTAACTGTATAAGTCCTGCCCTGGTTTGCTTTGCCTAAATGCAACACTTTACATTTATCTAAATTAAACTCCATCTGCCGTTCCTTGGTCCATTAGCCCATTTGATCAAGATCCTGTTGTACTCTGTGAGAATCTTCTTCACTGACAACTACACCACCTATTTTTGTGTCATCTGCAAATTTATAACCATGCCTCCTATATTCACATCCAAATCATTTATATAAATGACGACAAGCAGTGGACTCAGCATTGATCCTTGTGGCACGCTGCTACTCACAGGTTCCCAGTCCAAAAGGCAACCCTCAACCATCACCTTGTCTCCTACCTTTAAGCCAATTTTGTATCTGATTTAACCTTCAAGTGTTGTCGGAGCTGCATTCATCCAGGCAAGTCGAGCATGTTTCATCACACTCCTGACCTGTGCCTTGTAGATAGTGCACAGGCTTTGGGGAATCAGGAGGTGAGTTACTTGTCGCAGTATTCGTAACCTCTGACCTGCTCATGTTGCCAAAATTTATGTGGCAAGCCTAGCTAAGTTTCTGGTCAATGGTCACCCCAAGGATGTTGATAGTGGGGGATGCAGTGATGGTACTACCATTGAATATCAAGGAGCAGTGGTTACATTTCTCTCTCATTGGAGATTGTCATTGCCTAGCATTTGTGTGATGCAAATGTTACTTGCACGTGTCAGCCCAAGCCTGAATGTGGTCCAAATTTTGTTGCATTTGAACATGGACTACTTTAGTATCCGAGCAGTCACAATGGTGCTGAATATTGTGCAATTATTGGGGAACATCCCCAAAGGTCGTTGGTGAAGCAGCTGAAGATGGTTGGGGCTAGGGCACGACCACCTTGAGGAACTCCTGCAGACCTGCAGCTGAGGTCGTTGACCTCCAACCACTATAACTATCTTCCCATGTAACAGGTATGACTCCAACCAGCAGAGAGTTTGTCCCAGATACCCATTGATTCCAGTTTTGTTAGGGCTCCTTGATGACACCCTCAATCAAATGCATCCTTGATGTTAAGGGCTGTCACTCTTCGCTGCTTATAGCACTTTAAGGTAAGGAGCAGGAGGTTTAGAGGGGATTTGAGGAAAAATGTTTTTGTTCTTTATGATAGTGGGTATTGGAAACTCACTGCCTAAAAGGGCGTAAGGGACAGGAAGCAGCAAGACATCTAAGAAATCTTTGGATGAGCACTGTAAATGTCATATTGTACAGGACTACTGGCCTAGTGCTGGAAATTGGGATCGGGATAGATAGTTGCTTGATGACCAGTTAGGATTAGGACCTAATGGACCTTTTTCCATGCTGTAAAAACTCTGACTATAATTGGCTCTGGTTTCTTGTGTGACTCTGGGTCAAATATTGCCTCCTACAAAATGCCTTGAAGCATTTTATTGCGTTAGAGGTGCTACATTTGTTGAAGTTGTTCTGAAACACACAGACACACACACACGCACAAGCAGACATGCGCACACGCACACAGACACGTTTATTACTCTGTCATTAGAACATCATGCCACCCTTTGGTAGGAGCCTGAACAAAATCAGCCAGTTGCCATCCTGCTTAAATCAACTGATTATAATTTAATCTGTTTCATCAGTTGAAGTCTGTGTAAGTAGAGCTTTTGCACATATACATACTCTTGAATGCAGAAGGTTCGATCCTGCAGCAATGTTTGTTTTCTTAATTATCTCCAGCTTTTGTTTTTCATTGGAGTATAGCAGAGTGCCTCTTTGCTTGTGACAGGTAAGGCTGGGGAATTGAGTTCTTAGATTAACATGAGATGTCTTAAAGTAGTTGCCCACAAAAGGATGATGTAACAAAAATATGTTGAGCATCATTACCATTCAGAGATTATTGAGTATACTGTTTATTTGTAGTGGAATACATATAATGCCAAGGGCAACTTATTTTAAACTTGACTTTGGTATCAAGTTGCCAGAAACACATACTAGATGTAATTGTTTTTAAGGTGTTTCTGGATTGATAAAAGGTATCTTTCAAATTGAGACATTTTTGGTGTTTTCTTGCGTAGTTTGCTGTTTATAAGTCCTGAAAGTGCTTTTGTTTGCAGAATGTAATTGAATTCTCTGTCAATAGACAACAAGTAACAGCTGATTCACTATGAACATGAACAGCGAGTGTTGTTAGCTTCTTGACCATAAAGAGCACCAAACCGAGTTTGAAGCTGGTCTCACTTGATAAAAGCAGTTGTGTTTTCCATGATCAAAGACAGAAGTTGCTGGAAAGCTCAGCAGGTCTGGCAGCATCTGTGTGGAAAAAAAAGATCAGAGTTAACATTTTGGGTCCGGTGACCCTTGCTCAGAACTGAGGAAGGGTCACCAGATCTGAAATGTTAACTGTGACTTTTTTCTTCACAAATGCTGCCAGACCTGCTGAGCCTTTCCAGCAACTTCTGTTTTTGTTCCTGATTTACAGCATCTGCAGTTCTTTCAGTTTTTATTTAGTGTTTTCCATGATACTTGCTCGCTGCCAATTAGAAGCAAAACCCTCCCTAGTGGATTCAATAAGATAAATTATGCTCTGTTACCATTATTTTGTATGCTGTCAGCTAATTCAGCACTGGCTACAGGTCAAACCTGGGACCTCTTTGGATTCGTGCGCCAAGCACTGCCCCACATCATGAACTGAGCCACGAAAGAGCTCTTGCTCAATTATAACAATTCCCAGTAATGTCACTTAAGAGTTCAACATAGTTTACATCACATTGCAACACATTTAGGGTTCAGAAGCCAGACAAAAAGTGAATAAAGCAGTTAATGTACGTTTTATTTAAGGTATTTGAGATGAAATTTAAATTGGGCAGGATTTAAAATATTCTGGCTCACTTGATTTTATTGGGCTGTCAGGCACGTTCATTAATATCACAGACTGATGTATTTTGTCTGTGTTGAGATTTTAATTTTACATCTGTGTTGTGAAATATATCTCTTAGCTATTTTTCCATTGGGTGCTGGCCATGACACACACATCAAAGTAGCACACCTGTCATGAGTTGTCTACTTAACCTTCTCTTCCAGCACTTATCATAGCCACTGAATCATCTGAAATGCAATGGAAATCTTTTGCTTCAGTTCTTCAGAATTTTCTCTAACTTGTTTTAGTGCTACCCTACCAGTACTTTACAGGATAAAATCTTGCCTTATTTTAAATTGTACTTATAAGAGTTGTATATCAGTCATACTGTAGGGCCTGCGCACGTAGAAATGTTTTTGTCAGGGAGAGCATCTGAGCAGCTGTTCAGAGCTGGGAGCAATTCTTCCACTTTCCTCCAGCTGTGTTGTTCCTTATGTATGTACTAATCAATTTCTTGTGATGTGGGTGAGTTGAGACCAAGTATAGGTCATCAAGTGAAGTGAGGCTCAAACCAGGTTTCGTAGACACCATTCAAATCATACAAAAACAGACTTAGAATTTTGTTTGTACGTTCTTATTTCCACACCTCATCTAGAGAAAAATGCAGTTATGCCTTGGATATTGTAATGCAGTTTCCATTTCCAAATCTTTTCAAGTGTAGAAATTTGGTGAGTTAGTTACCCCTTGCTTAATGTGTTGGAACAAGAGCAATTCTTTTGTATTGGCCTCTCAGAGTAAATTCACTAAGCCTTGCTATTTTATCCACAATTGTCAGACAACATAGATCTTATTAATTCAACTGTTATCCCTTTTGCAGGAGAGAGGAGGAAATAATTCTTACACTCATGAAGCCCTCACTCTTAAATACAAGCTGGACAATGAGTTTGAGTTGCTATTTGTGGTGAGTATTCAACAGTTAGGATATTGTATATATTTGTGTAAAAGTCAAATTTTTTAGACTTTTTTTTTAAGGTTAGATTTATGGGGTGAACTATTACTTGGATACTAGTTTTGAGGGGCTGAAATTCATGCTACAGTCCAAAATATCACATCATATATATGAACAGAAGCCCACTTGATGTCTAAATGAATAAAGAAAAAAAAACAAATTACAGTAATTCCACGAGTGCTACAGGGGATCTGAGCTGAGCTGCGCTGTGCACAAAAGGAGGTTGACCTGATGGGTCTTAAACTTTCATGCAACATTCTTTTATTTCCCTCTGTTTTCTCTTGTCTACTCTTGTTTTAGTTTTTCACACTAACATTTTAAGCTTTTATTTCTGATTTAAAAAGTTATCAGACGTTTGACTGTCATACTGTCTCACCAATCGTTGTAGCCGTGAGAAATCATCAACTGCTGGACGTCCAATCAATCTGTGATATGATAATTATTGGGAAGTAAATGCATATAGATCTGTCTGATATAGGAACTGATGGTGTGATAAACTTTGCATCGCACTAATTATAGTGCTCATTCAATAATGAACTTAAGAAATCCGTAGCCTAACGTTGGTGTCAATTATACATTAAAACACATGATAGCATGAAAAAAATGCAATTCCTCATTGTAACATTTATGTACAGGACAATGCCTTGATTCTCAAATGTTGATTTGTTATCTGTGAAGAACTAGGGTCAACTTTTATGTGACATATATGGAAAATTCCAGATTATTTGGCCAAAAATAGGGGGTTGACTTTTACGTGAGATCATCTTTCACTTGAGTATCTACGGTACTTTCAGCAAGAGGTTATTCTGCATCTCATGTCTATTCAGATCCTTTGATGAATCTCAATGTTAACAAATGATGGGCTACAAATTCCTTAAATCTGAGGCTATGAGCGCAAGAAAATCATAATCACAAGGATGAAAGAATTTGCTTCAGTGGGAGTGCAGTAAAATCTGTTCAGTTGGACAGGTAGTGACTATTGCAAACAATGTGTTTTATAATGGCTTAAGCTGCATCTTGCAACTTTCAAGTATCCATGGTTTCAAGCTTTTAATGCACCAAAATACTAGGCCGCCTCCTCAGAGCTAGGAGCTACAGCAACAATAATATAAGAGTAGAAGTAGCACTGATGAAATCGGTGACAAATTCAGGATCAGTATTTTTCAAAATGGAGCAGTATTAGTTTGCTGGATCCTTCACCAGTTGCAGCTGTTGGTGCTAGAAGCAGCTACCTATAAGAAAGGGAAGAGAATAAATATCTGGAAAAATGGAGTTTGAGAAGATTGGGTGCGACAAGAAAGAGGGCCGCAGGCTGAACTTCTCGTTCTGTCTTGTAATTTCACAACTTTCCCTCTTGTTTATGGCTGGTGTCTTGTTGTAAGGTCATAGAGACGTACAGCATCGAAACAGACCCTTCAGTCCAACTCAGCCATCTGGATGCCTTTTAAATGTTGTAATTGTACCAGCCTCCACCACTTCCTCTGGCAGCTCATTCCATACACACTGCACCCTCTGCATGAAAAAGTTGCCCCTTCAGTCTCTTCTAAATCTTTTCCTTCTCACGTTAAACCTATGCCCTCTAGTCTTGGACTCCCCTATCTTGGGAAAGACTTTGATTATTCACTGTATCCATATGCCTCATGATTTTATAAACCTCCATAAGGTCACCTCTCAGCCTCCAATGCTCCAGCCTATTCAGCCTCTCCCTATAACTCAAACCCTCCAACCCTGGCAACATCCTTGTAAATCTTTTCTGACCCTTTCAATGTCACAACAACTTTCCTATCACAGGGAGACCAGAATTGAATGCAGTATTCCAAAAGTAATCTAACCTATATTCTATACTTGTGCGGTAGTTAGTACTGTACTGTATCGGCGCAGCCTCGTGCTCCCACGAGGAGCTCAAACAGTTCATCCCCTTCACTAACACCTTCCACCCCAACCTTAAGTTCACCTGGACCATCTCTGATGCCTCTCTCTCCTTCCTGGACCTCTCTGTCTCCATCTCTGGCATCCACCTGGAAACCGATATCCATTTCAAGCCTACCGACTCCCACAGCTACCTAGAATACACCTCCTCTCACCCACCTTCCTGTAAAAAGGCCATCCCCTATTCCCAATTCCTTCGCCTCCGCCGCATCTGCTCCCGAGATGAGGCATTCCACTCCCGGACATCCCAGATGTCCTCGTTTTTCGAGGACCACAACTTCCCCTCCACAGTGGTCGAAAACACCCTCAACCGTGTCTCTCGCAATTCCCACAACTCATCCCTCACACTCCCTACCTGCAATAACAACCAAAACAGAATCCCCCTCGTCCTCACGTACCACCCATCAACCTCCGAATCCAACGCATCATCCTCCGACACTTCCGCCATCTGCAATCTGACCCCACTACCAAAGACATTTTTCCCTCCCCACCGTTATCTGCTTTCCGGAGGGACCACTCTCTCCATGACTCCCTTGTCTGCTCCATACTCCCCACCAGCCCAGCCACCCCTGGCACTTTTCCCTGCAACCGCAGCAAGTGCTACACCTGCCCCTACACCTCCCCCCTCACCCCCATCCCAGGCCCGAAGAAGACCTTCCACTTCAAACAGATGTTGACCTGCACATCTGCTAATGTGGTATACTGTATCCGCTGTTCCCATTGTGGCCTCCCCTACATCGGGGAAACCAAGCGGAGGCTTGGGGACCACTTTGTGGAACACCTACACTCGGTTCGCAACAAACAACTACACCTCCCAGTCGCGAACCATTTCAGCTACCCCTCCCACTCCTTGGACGACATGTCCATCCTGGGCCTCTTGCATTGCCACAATGATGTCACCCAAAAGCTGCAGGAACAGCATCTCATATTTCGCTTGGGAACCCTGCAGCCCAATGGTATCAATGTGGACTTCACAAGCTTCAAAATCTCCCCTCCCCTGACCGCATCCCAAAACCAGCCCAGCTCGTCCCTGCCTCCCTAACCATTCTTCCCACCTCAAGCCTCACCCCCATCTCCTACCCACTAACCTCATCCCGCCTCCTTGACCTATCCGTCCTCCCTGAACCGACCTATCCCCTCCCTAACTCCCCACCTACATTCACCTTTACTGGCTCCAACCCCGCTTCTTTGACCTGTCTGTCTCCTCTCCACCTATCTTCTCCTTTATCCATCTTCTATCCACCTCCCCCTCTCTCCCTATTTATTTCAGAACCTCCTTCCCCTCCCCCATTTCTGAAGAAGGGTGTCGACCTGAAACGTCAGCTTTCCTGCTCCTCTGATGCTGCTTGACCTGCTGTGTTCATCTAGGTCTACACCTTGTTATGTCAGATTCTCCAGCGTCGGCAGTTCCTACTATTTCTATACTAGTGCAACATGACCTCCCAGCTCCTATACTCAATGCACTGACCAGTAAAGGCAAGCGCACAAACACCGCCTTCACTGTCCTGTCTACCTGCGACTCCACTTTCAAGTATACTTAAGGATTTCTGGGAACTCCTCATAGTGCCAGTATAGTGTTGAGTAGAATCAGAATGTCCACCCTCCATGTGGAAGAAGCACAAATAGCAATGAACTGGGTAATCAGTCAACAGAACATGAACTCAAGTTGCATGCTGACAAATATCCAACATATTCCTGATCTGAAGTGAAGATCAAACAAAAAATGAATGCTGTGTGAGATGCAGCCAATCCTAAAATAGTTGTTTTTTCCAGCTTACTGTATGTAAAATTAACATGAAAATAATAGCACTATGAAATAATGAATACTTGATACAAGTACCTTTTTTATTTTTACTTTAGTGGCTTCACTATCTATAATGGGTGTTGATTTACTTTTTGCTGTGCAGTGCCCATCCACGTAAACAGCAGGAAAAACCAGTGGATTTTTCCCCCATATTTACTGAAATAAATGCCAACATTACAGGATTAAATGGTATCTTAATGAGTCCATTACATTGACTATATTCTGAGTTTTAACATAGAGGAACTGAATTTTATTTAGAAGTCACACAACACCAGGTTATTGTCCAGCAGGTTTATTTGAAATCACAAGCTTTCGTAACACTGCTCCTTCAGGTGAAGTCTAACCTAGTGTTGTGTGGCTTCTGACTTTGTCCACCCCAGTCCAACACCGGCACGTCCACATCATGAATTTCATTTAGGTAGTTAGACTGTAGAAAGTTGCAGCATGGAAGGATTTGGGGGGTTCTCATGCATAAATCACAAAAAACTAGCTTATAAATTCAGATAATAGGGAAGGCAGAAGGAATGTTGGCCTTTATTATGAAAGCAATATGTATAAAAATAGGGAAGTTCTGCTAAACTGTACAAGGCACTTATTAGAAATGCAACTAGAGCACTGAACATTTTTGGTCCCCTTATCTAAGGAAAGATTTACCGCCACTAGAGGCGGTTCAGAGAAGATTCATTCCTAGGTATGGAGAAGTTTTGTTGTGAGATGTTGAGTAGGTTGGGTTTGTAGTCACTGGGATTTACAAGAATGAAAGGCAACCTTAATGAAACATACAAGGTTCTTAGATGGCATGATTGTTTCTCATTGTGGATGGGATTCTGATCAGAAGGCAGAATCTCAACAAGTGGTCCCCTATTTAAGTCAGAGACAAGGAGGAATTTTTTCTGAGGTTAATGAATCTATGGAATTCTTTACTGGAGAGGCTGGCTCCTTGAATATATTCAAGGTTGAGATGGACAGATTTTCAGTTAGTAAACAAATCAAATATTGTGGGAAAAGGCGCGAAAGTGGAGTTGAGGATTATCAGGTAAGCCATGATCTCATTGAATGGTGGAGCAGACTTAATGGGTCAAGTGGTTTACTTCTGCCCCTATATCTTTATGGTCTTAAGATTCTAAATATTCAAAAATGAAATGGAGTTTTTTTTCATTGACTGATTTTAACACGTTATTGTGACTGTCAGAATGAGACTCAGTTCATTTAATGGCTTTTACCCCTTTCTCTCTGCGCTTCAGGTGGGTTACCAAAAAATTCTGACGCTAACGTATATAGACAAGTTTATTGATGATATCCACATGCAATTTCGGGATAAATATAGGAACCAGTTACAGCAGCAAGGGGTGATGGGTCTCCTTAATGGTTCCTTTGACTTTTCGGATGACTTCAGAGGTCTCCTGAGGTAAGAGAATGAAATTTCACCTTTCAGAACTTACTTTTCCGTTAACTTGTTGTACTTTCAAGGCAAGAAATAACACTTAAGACTTGCTTCAGTCTCTTGTGTGATTATTGCAAGGTGTGAGAATACAAAAAGAAAGGTTTTGCTGTATTGATTCCAAAGAGATATGCAGCGATACAATGGAAATATTCACATCTGTGGAGTGGAAAATTGCTGGAGATAAAGAATCCAATTAAGAGGACAGACAAAACAGCTTGAATTCTTCAGCTTTGAAAGTTAAGTATTGAGGAAAGGTTTATAAGGATATGCAGTTTAGGTCGGTTTGCTTGACAATTGATTTGCGATGCAGAGTAATGCTAACAGCATAGGTTCCATTCCTACAACAGCTGAGGTTACCAGGAAGCATTTTCCTCCTCCTCACCTTGCCTGAGGTGTACTGTCAAACTCTAGTGTTAAACCACCACCAGTCATCTCTGTCTGAAACTTGCCCATGTATTGGCTGTTCTATTTATCTTGAACTATTAGGGGGTTACAGTACATTCTATTTACCATCTTCATCCATTACCCCCCTCTCGTGCTGTAGCTTCCCCTCCTCCTCCCCGCTCCCCACCCCATCAGTAGCATAAATAACGTCCTCTCCCAGCTGTTTCCCTTCTAATGAGGGGTATTGGACTCAAAATGTTAACTGTCTACAGATACTGTTGGACCTGTTGCATTTCTCCAACACTTCTTGTTTTTGTTTCAGATTTCCAGCATCCACAGTTATTTGATTGCCAAACATTATAACTAGTACATTTCAGTCAGATTCAAATGAGCAATTAAAATTCCTGCTGCGTTTGTTTCCTATTGTGGTGCACCTCCTTTAGTTATAGAGTTGCAGAAATGATGAGCACATAATGAAACTATGTGGTCTGTTGTACTCATCATGGTTCTCTACAAGCAAAACTAATCACCGTTGTCTCCCTTTTCCCTGTAGCCCTGTGAATGTTTTCCCTTTAAATAATTTTCCAACTTCAAATTCTAACTTTTTGCTGTGTACAAACATTTTGCCTTATGTTGTCTTCACTTTCACAGTTCACCTTAAATTAATATCCTTTGTCCTTCTGAATTAAACAGTTTTCCCTGTTTTTAATATGAAGCCTTAATCACTGTAATAACCTAATGCAAATTACAGATGCTTCTGAAAGGTTTTTAAACAAGTTTTAGCTAGATTGGGATTGGGGAAAAAGAAATTGAATTACCCTCCAGAAAAGATTACAAACTCATACAGCCGTTTGTCCTGACCCCTGTGATTTTGTTCTCGAAGGAGAACAGCCGTAGCACTCTAATCTCTTCGTTTAATTGAAGACCCTCATTATTGGAACCATGATTGTACTGTTTATAATACCTTCACATCCATCCTAAATCGTGGCATTCAAAATTGGATAATGTTCCAGTTAAGGTTCAAGCAGTGTAACTATAAAAGTTCACTATTAACTTTCTTGCTTTTGCACTCTGTCTCTACTTAAGAGTGCTTTTTTCACCTGCCCTTCCGACTTCAAAAATTTGTGCACGTGCCCACAGGTCTACTCCAGCAGCTCTTTTAAAAACATTCTCTTTGTACTTCCTACCAAAGTATATTTAATTGGCACTTCTCTGCATTAAACTTAATCTATCACTTGTCCACCCATTTCATCAGTGTGTGTGTCCAGTTGAAGTTGATCCTTACCCTCTTTGCAGCTCATAATATGAACAAGAGTAGGCCATTCAATACATTATGATGAATGATTAAACTTCAATGTCTTTTGCCCATCCCATAACCCTGTCTGCCTTTGGTCATCAGTAATTTATTAATCTTTAGCTTAAAGTGAAAGTTTGACCTTTACAGCCTTCTGTGGTACAGAATTCCAAAGGTTCACAACCTGAGTAAAACAATTTCTCCTCATCACAGTCGTAAGTGGCATATCTCTTGTTTGGGGAATGAAGGGAAACATCGTGCCTGCATCTATCCTGCCTATCTCTTTAAGTATTTTGTCGGTTTCAATAGATCGCCCCTCATTCTTCAAAACTAGGATGGAGATGTCAGATACTAAGGGCATAGGCTCAAAATGAGGGGTGGGTAAGTTTAAAGGAGACGTGCAAGACAAGTGTTTTTAACACAGAGGTTGGTTGATGCCTAGAACACACTGCCGGGGGGGGTGATGTGGTGGAAGCATATACAGTAGCAACATTTGAGACCTTTAGACAGTCACATGAACTGGCAGGAAATACAGGGATACAGACCATGTGCAGGCAGATGGGATTAGTTTAGAATGGCATCGTGGTCAGCGCAGACATGGTGGGCCAAAGGACCGGATCCTGTGCAGTACTTTTCTGTTGTGTTCTAGAGAATACCTGCCTAGTTTGCCCAGTCTGCCTTTGTAGAGCATTCTGGGAACAAATCTGGTGAGCTTTCGTTGCGCTCCCTCAGTGGCATTAATATCCTTCCTGACATGGAGACCAAACTGCACACCAGATGTGGTCTAGTCAAGCTCCTGAACAATTGAAGGAAGACTTCACTACTCCTGTTCTTGAAACCTCTTACAATGAAGGCCAGCATTAGCCTTCCTGATAGCTTTCTGCATCTGGGCATGTTAGCCTTCAGTAACTTATCAACAAAGACATCTGAGGGTTTTTGTACATCTGCACTTGCCAACCTCATACCATTTAAGAAATACTCTGAACATATGTTTCTCTTAGCAAAGTGGCCAACCACACATCTTTTTTTTTTGCCAGTTCTTTTCCATTCACTAAGCCTGTCCAAAACCCCTGTTTCACAATATACCCCATTTAGCTTTGTTTTATCTGTAAGATTATTATTATTGTACAAGTTGAAGCTTTTCACTGTACTTTACCATATTGTTTAGTGTAGAGCGCAAGTGACAATAAATCATCATTCACGAATTCATCTTTAAATTTGCAAATCTTGCATTTGATCCCCATCTCCAAATCATTGATATATATTGTGAAAAGCTGGAATTCAAGCATTGATCATTATTGTACCCCATTACCCACAGCTTGCCACTGTGAGAATGGCCAATTTATTCCTTCTGTTTTCTGTCAGTTAGCCAATTGTTAATCCATGCCATTATGTTACCTCCTGTCCCAAATGCTTTAATTTTTCTGACCAGCTTCCTGTAGGGGACTTTATCAAAAGCCTTCTAAAAATCTAAGCATGTCCATCAGCTCTCCTTTATGAATTTTATAAGTAATATCTTCCAAATCCCAAAGTTTGTCAAACATGACTTCCCAATATTTCTAAGTTTTGTATTATCCACATATGAAATTCTGCCCTGGGCACCCAAGTTTGGGCCATTAATATAGTTGAAGAAAAGTAGCGGTCCTGATACTGACCCTGGGTATCCCCCACTGGATACCATCGAAATGTCCTGCTACCCCAATTATTTATCTCTGCTCCAATTCCTGTCAGTCAACCAGTTTCATATTCTTGCTTCTACTGCCCATTTTGTTCCATGCTGATAAACCTGTTATGTGACACTTTATGAAATGTCTTTTGAATGTCCACGTGCACTGCATCAACTGTTTCATTTTGCTCTCAATAATTTTTCATCATTTTGGGAGCTTTGGCTTTGTTTGCCCCACCTTTATCCTCCTATGGAAATAGATTTTGACAGCAGCTGAACTATGTCTTTTAAAGGGAGACCGTTTTCCATTATAGGTTTGCCAGTAATCTCTGATTACATTTAACCAACCCCTGTTCTCAAGCAAATATACAAATTATAGATGAAGGGAGCATCATACTTCACTGTGAATCCCCCTTACAGTAGAATAACTAGCTCGCTTTCCATTATCTAGACTTTTCTTTTGGGATCAGATATCTGGCTACATCCCATAGAGCTACCAGAGAGGGGAGTCAAAAGAAATTTATTTCTCTCAGAATGGAGAATAGAAATCTTATGACAACATTGCGATTTTATTTTAAATGCTTTCTTTTGTCCATTTGTGACTGGATAATTCTGCTCTTAATCCATTCTATTTTGTTGATGTTCTTCAGGGCTGCTGAGGAATGCACCAAAGGAAAAGCACCTTCTGTCATGAAGACATTTGAACAATCTGATAAATCAAAGAAAACTGTGAAATCTATGATAGAAGTCCGTAGAGAAAAGGGGAAGGAGAACAAGAAAAACAAGAAAGATGGTATGTAATGGTGTATTGCAGAGAAAGTGGCTCAGATTGTTTATCGTGCTGTAGTGAAAGAAACAGCTGTGATGAACAGGGTGAAAACTGAAAGAACTGCAGATGCTGTAAATCAGGAACAAAAACAAAGTTGCTGGAAAGCTCAGCAGGTCTGGCAGTATCTGTGAAGGAGAAAACAAGAGTTAATGTTTCGTGTCCGATGACCCTTCCTCAGAGCTGAGAAAGGGTCACCGGACCCGAAACATTAACTCTGTTTTTTCCTTCACAGATGCTGCCAGACGTGATTAACAGGATGCTGAGTAAAGAAGATAGCGAATCATCAGACAGCACCATCCTTACTGGAAGGTAAATTTTATTTCAGGAGGCAGGAATCTAATTGTCAGAGAATGTTCATTACTGTAACTCTCTTGCTTCCTATGTTTGTACTTCAGCTTTGGAGTTGCTGGTTGGATCAGATTTATTCTGTGGAGCACCTGATGAGGCAGGAACGAAGTTCCTGTCTAATGACAGGAGCCATTGCTGCTTATCCTGTGTCTTGAGAGAAGTCTGTGCAGATGAGTGTTCTCAAATTGGCAGCAGGAGGCAACTACACTTGCCTGTATACAGATATTTGTCATGCTTGAGCAATGTACTATCCAGTTTAATGTAGCACCTAAATGTACCACTGTGATGTGTCACAAGGTTTATAACTGGAGGTCATCTTGGCAAAAAACCCTTCTGAGCAGGAGGGGGGAGTCATTTCTATAACTGTCCTGGTGTATCTTGGTGGTAAGAATGTGTTAATCTGCCATGTTGGTGGAGGTGGTTGTTGCAAGTGCGGAAAAATAAACTTCTCAGTTTTGCTGAAACCAATTGTGAAGACACTTTCTAATGAAAAGACTGTTGTAAATAAATTTATGGTTAACAGAATTAGAAAAAGAAGGTGGAAGAAGTCAAAATTAATTACTTGTTAATCTTTAGACCGTTTAACCGCTAGAGTCCACTTATTTTTAAGCTTGTTACTACTTAAGTTTGGGATTCTGGAGTTAATGATCAATTGTGAACTGGTGACATTCTCTTCCTCACTATTGCTGATCATGAGAATGATCCAGTGATGTGTCAATCCCTGCAATTCATTTTGATGAAGACGTCCAAGAATATTGATTAATACAATGTTCCTGACCCTATCCCCCTCCTGTAGCTCCTGGTTTTTGGGGGTGTGATATCTAGGACACATCTACTTCATCCAGTTAATTGGCCACTGCTAATTTCTGATTCACAGTAACATTAGGGTGTCATTGGTGTTGGTGGGTAGTTGAATTGTGAAGACATGGCCAGCTGTGCTTCTGTTTTTACCTAATTCCTGATGCGTGCAGTTTTCGGTGATCGCTGAATAAAAATGACCAGGCAGGAAAAGTTTAAAATGTTTCATGTGGTTTGTTCTCCTCTCTAGGATGGGGTAGTGGTGCTAGCTAACATAGTAATAAAACTTGCACCATGGTGTACTTTTTTCACTGTCTTGCTTCAGTGATTCACTTATTTTCTTTTCCTTTCTTGCGGTGAAAACATCACAGACTTGATCGGTTATTATATGATTTCTCTATATGTAGAGGAGCTGTTCAGAAAGTTTATTTTACTTTTTTTCTGTACTTTGATTACTTTTTTCTAATTTTATTTCCCTCATTTTTTTCTCCTCTATTTACTACTTCTCTTTTCCTTCATCTTTCGTATCCAGCACCTGTACAAGATGCACCAGAAAAGAAAACTGAGGTTCAGTTAAAGGCTTCTGTGACTGTGGCTGCAGGAGATGCCAACCAAAACGGTTTGACTCAGGAAGAAATCATCCAGAGGAATAGGGAGGAATTTTTCCGTAAAAGACTGGGGAAAGAGAAAAAAGAAAGCAGGTGAGAAGGCGCCTTATTTCTAAGGGAGTGTATCTTTGAATCAACTAGCTGGTTGTATTTGCTCTGTTTGCCTGGTGGGTAATGCTATAATAATAAAACCTGCTGTTCTTGCTAATTCGAAGAGACACTGGTGGCTGATTTCAAGATAGTTTAGACTTTCTTTGCTACACTTTGTTAATGCATGTATGTTGTAAAACAACTCTTGCATGTACATGTAACACACTTCACAACACTTTAGTGAATTTAATTTGACAGTGCTGAACAAGGACTTGTATACTTTGCTTGACACATCTGATTTGCAGAATGCATGATTATCCGGTAATTAATCTTAACAGTTACTTTAGGAACTTGCATTACTTTGCCAAACATTGGAATATCATCATACCATGCAATTGCTTTCTAATCTATTGATCTATGCCTTCCAGCAATTCATTTCTCAACATAAGTTCATGAGGTGGTGGTGCATAGAGACTGGCTGTACTAATGTGTGTCTCTTTCTCTTTCTCTCTTTCTCTCTTTCTCTCTCTTTCCCCCCATGAACTGCAGCAGCAAGTCCCCTAAGCCAACAAAGCAGAAAACCCGTCGTGTCTGGCCTTTGGATTCCAACAAAGCTAATGCCAAAGATCTTGACTACAGCGAGAAACTTATCAATGGTCAATCCAGCACCTACGCCAATAACGGAGATGACACCAGTGCAGATATGGTATGTTTACTCATTACAGACTGTATTAATCTTCTAACATTGATCATTAGCCTCTAATCGGAGTATTACTTAGTCTTGTTATTTTATTTCCTCAAGTAAATTTTGCCCAATTGCAAATGGGAAGAAAAAGGCTCAAAAACTTGGGTGTATTTTCAAAGTTAGTGAATATCATGAGATTGGTATGGTGTAATTTTATACTAATTTAAAATGGGTACAAAACACAAGATGTTAATAGCATATATTATGCAAAGAAGACTGGGGAAAGTAGAAAGGAGAGATGCGACAAAATGTAAGAGCACAGTAACAAACTTGTAGAAGGGCAAGTCATTAGTGAAAGATTTAAAAAACAGAAGTCTTGTTATATTTATATAGAATTATGCTTTGACCTCACTTGGAGTTGTGCAGCATAGTTGTCTCCATTTTATGAAAAGATAGAGGCACTGGAACAAGGTGCAAAAAAGATTCACAAAGATAATACCAAACTAAGATGATATCCCTATTAAGAACAAAAAAACATGCAGGCTTTTTTCTACAGAACGGAGAAGCCTGAATGACAATCTAATAAATTGGAAAAGGTTTGATGTGGTAGATGTGGAGATTCTCAGTGAGACCTGAATAAGGGCCATAAATACAGCGCAAACCCAATAAATTCAACAGGGTTTTCAGAAGAAACTTCACTAGAAAGTGATTATAATTTGGAACCTGCTACTACAGGAAGAAGTGCAGGTAAATAGCATAGGCACGTTCTAGTGGAAGCTAGATAAACCTGAACGAGAAAGCAAAGTTATGCGGGTGGAATTAGCTGAGGTAGGTGATTTTCTTTTTGCAAAGGCCCTTGCATGTTTATGTGGGTGGTATGATGTCTTGACTTAAATATATAACTGCAAGTTCTTTATTCTTCCGTGAGCCTTCGGGTATTTTTTCAGCTTTGTATCTTTGCCTCTTCATTCTACGTTTGACCTGACCTGAAGCTGAGACCGCAGAGATGTCATTAATTGTCAGGCTTTTACCAATACCAGGATAGTCAACTACAAAATATTAACAAGGCCTCGCTTGTCCTTCCAATTTCAGTTCCTCTCCCACATGCAATTAGTTTGGACAGTCCCTGGACATGCTGGCTGATCTCTTAGTGTATCTTAAAAACATAGGAATTATTCAATAAAGTCAGGTTTTTGTTTAAAAATGTTATTTGAGATGTAGATTACTGTGTAAAACAAAAATTACCTATGGACAAAGCACCTGGACTTAATTTTAGAAAACGTAGAAACATAAACACAGAAAATAGATGCTGGAGTAGGCCATTCAACCCTTTGAGCCTGTACCACCATTCAATGTGATCGTGGCTGATCATGCAATTTCAGTGTCCTATTCCTGCATTCCCGCTTTCGCTCCATACCCTTTGATCCCATTAGCTGCAAGAGCCACGCCCAGTTCCCTCTTGAATATATCTAATGAACTGGCCCCAACAGCTTCCTGTGCGAGAGAATTCCACAGGTTCACAACTTGGAGTGAAGAAATTCTTCCTCATCTCCGTCCTGCATGGCTTACCTCCTTTTCTCACACTGTGACCCTGAGTTCTGGACTTCCCCAACATCGGGAACATTCTTTCCGCATCTAGCCTGTCCATTCCCATCAGGATTTTATATGTTTCTATGTGATCCTCCCTCATTATTTTAAATTCCAGCAAGTACAAGCCTAGTTGATCCAGTCCTTCCGCATATGTCGGTCCTGCCATCCTGGGAATCAGATGGAAAGGATTCTAGGGATTTAGTTTGGTGTGTAAAGTTAAGGTTTTTAGAGGGATTTTGTACAGTAATTTTCATCCACATAGATCTCAGTAACCTCTTTTTGAAATGTGAAATTTGTTTTGACAGTTTGGACAATGTTAAGGAAGTGGTTGCACTATTCAGAAAAGAGACTTTCCTCTGGTTTGCTGCCCAACATTCACTGTCTCAACCAATGCCACCAAATATGAATGAACAGGTGGTTAATTATTTTTATTGGAGATGACATCTTGCTTTGTTGAAAATAGCTGCTCTTTTCTTCCATGTATGATAAATATGCATTGCAAAATAATTTATTATGCATTAGGGTATTGAGTTCATTCTGTATCAAGGTATGTTTAATGCACCTATTTCTTTCCTGGTCCCATAAATTTCCAAATTATGATTTACTGAAAGAATTGAGTAAAAGTCAAAGTAGTGATGAGAGAGAGCACTATAAGTGACTGTCTTTCTCTGTATGCTTTCAGAAATTAAGTGTGAGATGAGTAGAGAATTCCAGGAAGAGAGGGAGATCACAGAATCCCTACAGTATGGAAACAGGCTATTCGGCCCAACAAGTCCACACCACCCCTCGGAAGAGCATCCCACCCTGACTCATTCCCCTATACCTACATTTCCCCATGTCTAACCCACCTAACCTAAACATCCCTGGACACTACACGCAATTTAGCATAGCCAATCCACCTAGCCTGCATATCTTTGGACTGTGGGAGGAAACCAGAGCACCTGGACCGAACCCAAGCAGACACGGGGAGTATGTGCAAACTCCACACAGACAGTCACCCGAGGGTGGAATTGAACCCGGGTCCCTGGCGCTGTGAGGCAGCAGTGCTAATCACTGAGCCACCGTGCCACCCAATGATGATTTATTATTCTGTGAAGACAATTTTTTAAGAGTTCATTTACAAATTGCTTTTCCTCACACAATATTACAGAATTTATGGCGTGGATCAATGGCAGGTGATTTGAAAGCTGTAGATTATGAGAGCTGTGAAGAGGAAGAAGAAGATGATGAAGTAGTAGTTCAAGAAATTTCTACCACCAGGTATGTATGTCCAAATTGAACCAGAACAATCTCCTTCAGGTGAGCATTCAACTACCTCTCCAATATGAAGAAACTATTCATAAAATTGTTAAAATAGAATGATCTAACAGTTCACTTTTTGATCAGTGTGAAGAAGAAAGGTGGATTTGGTGGCATGTTTGGAATGCTAAAGGGCCTGGTTGGATCTAAAAGTCTTACCCCGCAAGACATGGAACCCGTCCTTGAAAAAATGAAAGATCACTTGATTGGTATGTTGTAGCTATTTCCTCTGTAATGCTAAATAATGCTGTGAAATGTATTGCTGATATGTGGTTGTATGCCACAACTAATCTGACTGGCCTAAGGCACTATCCTTGACTCACTTTTTTTTCCCTTTTTTATTTTGCTCCAGCTAAAAATGTTGCTGCAGATATCACAGTCCAGCTGTGTGAATCAGTGGCCAAAAAGCTGGAGGGAAAAGTCATGGGAACCTTCAGCAGTAAGTTGAATTAATGTAATGATCCTGAGTGTCTATCCAGCTGTCACCTTTTGACATGATCCATGTTTACATTAGGGTTCATGGGTTTAACCTTAGGATTTGAGTGGGAATTCAGTTCACCTTTTTCACTGAGCATTTCCAGCTGATAATGTGAACCTTTGCCAACTTGTTAAGTTCAGGTCCCCAAGTTTAGGAAGCTTGTGGTTTGTAGGAGTGATTCTTTAGTTTCATATTTCCATCATTATATGGTCCTTGTTTATCACTGAATATCTTGCAAAATTGTCTTTAGATTAAGTAGTTTTGTAGCATTCATGGATTCATTCTCGCTTTCCAAAATTTACCTGCTGTGAAAGTAATGGTACATTCAGCCTAATTGAAATGAAATCTCCAGCCTATGGCCAGCCTTCTTCGAGAAATTTGTCATTGTAAGGGCACTTTCCTAATGGATACTGCCATCTGTGAATGGGCCTCCCTTTTGTCGCTTACGCTGGTTTCACTGAACCATCACAGATATCCTGAGAGAAGACTCTGATGTTCGTGTGATTGCAGTCACTTCAGAGATACATCAGGAACATTTGGCTTAAGTTAACTGCAAGGATAAAATGAGAAGAATTGGAACTGCTACAGAAGTTGAGCAAATTTTGTAATTTTAACACACCTTTTCATAATCAATGCTAGTATAGTATAAGCCAGTAAATTAATTTATTCCAATTAACCGGCACCTCTTATTAGCTGTGGTTTTAACTCGTATAATTGTGCCCTGATCCTGTGTCACTGGACTATTTTTCTGAAATCCCTGAGATTTAGCAGAGTTTTGTCTGCCTCTGGATGGCAGCTTCTACCTGTGGATGTGCTCATCTTGTTTACTGGTAGGTATTATGTGTACAGCGAGGTAACGTCACCGTTTAGTACAGTAGCTATATTTTTTTGAGAAAAAGGATGAATCACAAAAGAAAGATTCAGCTCTTTTAAAAGTATAGGATCTACAGAATAATGAGCTGATCTTGCCATTTGTAGTAGGATTGGGAGGAAATAGCTAAGTACAGTTTCTGCTCCTGAAAGATTAGTAATTTCTGCTGGAACTTGTTTGTGAATAGACAATAATTGAAGTATGGATAGGGTGCAGCTGTGTGGGCCCATTAGCAAGAAGGATATCAGATAGGCTGGGTGTAGTTGTGCACGGCTGCTAGTGTACCTGGTACCCATGTAGTATATGGAAAGAGGATCCCAAATGTAATATCTTATAAATCTGCATTTGCGGCCACCACCACCACTAGGTAGAGCATTCATGTATAAAATTGGAACATTCCTTCTGGTTTGATATACAAATAAAAACGATACCTGTCACAATTAAAGGGAATCCATCTAAAGGGATTATTGCTCATTTCCAATAACATATGGAAATAAAAAAATCTGTTCGGTATCAGCAGTGGTTGTTGTTTTTAAAAATGTTGGCGTCAGAAATGCAGCCTCATCAAACTTCAGGAACAAAACACAATGTATGCCTGACCATGTTCTTAAAGAACTCGTCATCTTAAAGAACTTTGCCTGTTTGCACCACTTGTTGTAGCAACAAGGTTGCAGGTGCTTTCACACACTCTCAGCTGGATCACAGTGGTTATTTTTAATGGCGGCACCCCTTCTAGGTTTTGGTTATGTCCACTTCATTTACTTAAATAATTTTTTTGATTTGCACCATCCCCAAAATCCCATTACTTACTAACTATCTAATTAAGCGTACTTTTCTCTGTTCACTGGCAGCGGTGACCTCGACAGTGAAGCAGGCCTTGCAGGATTCCCTTGTTCAGATCCTGCAACCAAAGAGACGTGTCGATATCTTGCGTGATATTATAGAAGCTCAAAAACAGAGGCGTCCCTTCGTTGTTACTTTTTGCGGTGTGAATGGAGTTGGAAAGTCTACCAACCTCGCCAAGGTCAGGCATGAGAAACCTCATATACACAATGATAAAGTTTGATTAACCTTAAATACTAGAGTAGCAACAACTATTTGTCTCCAAGCCCCGACCTGACTCCTATGCCATTTCATTTTCGAAGTTTCAAGGACAACCAGTGCTTTGAGTACTTGTGTTTGTCTCCAGCTTTCAGAACTGGCATCTTTCTCCTTTCTCACTGACTCAGCTATTCAGCCCAGGACTGCACTTCTTTTTAAAGACATTTTTTATTCACTCATAAGATGCAGGTATCAACAGCTGGGCCAGCATTTATTGCCTATCCCTAGTTGCCCTTGAAGATGATGGTGAGCTGCTTTCTTGAATTACTGCCGTCCACATGTTGGACATAGTCTCATAGCGCTGTTAGGGAAGGGATTCCAGTGAAGGAAATATTGCCATTCCAAGTCAGATGATGAGTGGCTTGGAGGCGAACTTGTAGATGGTAGTGTTTCCATATATCTACTGCTCTTGTACTTGTAGATGGAAGTGGTCTTGCGTTTGGAATGTGCTGTCAAAAGATCTTTGGTGAATTTCTGCAGTACATCTTGTAGAAAGCAGCATTGTGTAATGAGCATCAGTGGTGGAGTAACTGAATGTTTGTGGATGTGGTGCCGATTGGGTGGACTGCTTTGCCCTGATGGGGTGACCTCTAACACTCGTTTCATCTCCAACATTTTCCTTCACCTCTAACATCAAACATCTGTGCACTGCTTCAGTCCAACTGATACTGAAAATCTCATCTGTTCTTTTATCATCTTTAGACTCAATCTTCTGCCCAGTGTCTTTTCCTCTGGCCTTAGCTAGACGTAGGCTAAGTGAATGAACAACAAAATAGCAAATGTAATGTGCAGAACGCTGATATTTTTCACTTAGTAAAAGTAGGAAGGTCAAATATTTTTAAAGGACTTGAAACTTGTAAATGTTCATGTTCATAGGACATGGTCTGCCCAAACAAAGAAGGCTGAAAGTGGGCATGCAGATACACCAAACAATTAGGAAAACAAATTAGATGTTGGCCTTATTGCAAGAGAACTGGAGTACAGGAATAAATTAGTCTTAGTGCAGTTGGACCGGACTTTTGTGTGACTACATTTGGAGCACTGCACTTTTTATCACCATATTTAAGGAAGAATATACTTGCAGCAAAGGTTCACTGGATTGATTCCTAGGATGAGGAGGTTACCACAGGTAGGAGGCTGACTAAATTTGGCCCATACTATCTGGCCCATACATGCAAGATTCTGAGGAAGCTAGACTGGTTGTTTCCCGTGGCTGAGGAATCTAGAACATAGGGCTCAGTCTAAGGAAAAGGGGGCAATTATTTAGGGCTCAGCTGAGGAGAAATTTCTTCAAATTGTGAATTTTCAGAATTCTCTGTCTCAGGCAATTGCAATTGAGAATTATTGAATATCTTTACAGCTGAGATGGACAGATTTGTTTTGGCCAGTTAGGAAGTCAAGGAATATGGGAAATGGGCAAGAAAATGAAGTTGAGGTGATTGACTATTGCATACTGGCTGGCAGAGTAGGTTTGGGGCTAACTTTCCTAGGTCTTTTGTATGTTCCTAATTCCCTCTGCCTGTCCATCCTCCTGCTTTTCCTTCAAGTGTCAGTTCAAGCACACAGTCACTCTTCCTCCTTTCGTCATGTCTTTTTATTTTGTTCTACCTCTGGAGCACCAAAAGACATGTTTTCTTTAAGGCTAGTGTCTAAGTACAAGTTTAGCAACACTGCCCCATGGGTTAGAATATTCTGGACAGAGTACGGACCTTTTCCTACTTTCTGCAGTCTCCACTTTGCACAACCTATTGTGAAACAGCTGACTTCTGTTTTCCATCCCCACCTCTAACAAAATTTTGGATTACAATATTCCAGTTTCCAGGAGTTCTGGCACATGTAGAAATGAATCAGTTTCTTCCATCAAGTAATGAAAGGGGCTTCAATTGAAGTGAAGTGCCAAGGAGATTATCTCCAGTGAGCAGTTTTATTTGTTTCAGGCTCTCTGTGGGCACGTGCAGAAGGGCACTAGTCACAGATAAAGGAGAGAAATAGCATTACACATTGGACACCCAGTAGAGGTGGCTGAATTAATGAGGTCCCATCAGGGTGTGAGGTATATAGACGGCTGGGCTGAGAAAAGCCCTGTTCAGGTAGAGTGGTTAGGCAGCCGAAAACAAAAGCTTCTCCCTGTAGGGGACACAGCTGGGTGTCAATGGAGGCAGATTCTTGTGAAAGGTCAAATTCCAACGATTTTATCTTGTTGAGAATGAGAGGAAAAGACCAACTCTTGGGGACATGGAGAGGTTCAGAAGGCATGTTTGCCTTTGCTGGACTTGGAGTGATAATTACTATCATAAGAAAATCCTCCAACTCCCTGTATTCAATAATGTAAATTTCAGGAGATAAGCAGAGAAATTTCAAATGCTGAAAATCTGAGGGGAAAAAAGTCAGATCTAGGTGAGAAGGATCTTGCTGATTGTGAGACCAGTTTCACCTAAACTAATAGGAAATTAAACTCTGCTCTTTGCTTCCTGTAGATAGCCTTCTGGCTGATGGAGAATGGGTTTCGGGTTCTCATTGCTGCTTGTGACACTTTCCGAGCTGGAGCTGTAGAACAGCTTCGCACCCACACTCGCCGTCTAAGTACCCTGCACCCACCTGAGGAACACAATGGCCAGTGCATGGTCCAGCTGTTTGAAAGAGGATATGGGAAGGATGCTGCTGGTATTGCAATGGAGGCCATTGCTTTTGGTAATTTTTAGAAAATTTATATGTTAAGCCTTTTAAAAGTATTTCATTGTCTCTTTCTGGAGAATGCAATTTGATCTTAAATATTTCTTTCTTTTCTGATTTAGTGAGTTATTTTCTGACTTTTTTTGTTTTAAACTCTGGCCTCTCTGACTGAGGGTGCATAAACTGCAGAGTATATATACTGAAGCACAGCTGGAACTGAGATCGTTTGGAGGAAATTTTCAGACTCTTGATGCCTTTTTGTAGTTTCTACAAGTGTAGGGAATGCAGCAGATTGAAAACCAAGGGGGTTTTTTTTTCTGTATATTTGCCAGATACCTGCGAGAATAAATTGGAAGCGTTGCAGAAATGACTTAGTTATGTATTCCATCTGGGAGTAGCTGTTAATTTTTTTTTCCTTCAATTCATTCACAGGATGAGGGCGTTGCTGGCTAGGCAGCATTTATTGCCCATCCCTAATTACCCAGAGGGCTGTTAAGAGTCAACCACATTCCTGTGGGTCTGGAGTCACATGTAGGCCAGACCAGGTAAGGATGACAGTTTCCGTCCCTAAAGGACATTAGTGAACCAGACGGGTTTTTCCGACAATCAACAATGGATTCGTGGTCATCTCTAGATTTTTAATTCCAGATATTTATTGAATTTAAATTCCACCATCTGCCATGGCGGGATTCGAACCCAGGTCCCCAGAATGTTATCTGGGTCTCTGGATTAACAGTCCACTGATAATACCACTAGGCCATCGCCTCCCCTTATTATTAACAAAACACCTAGAAACTAGGTCCCTAAGCATCTTCGATACAGCATTTATAAGGCACAAGTCAAAAATGCAATGGAAAATTCTCCACTGCTGTCCTGCTGAACTTACGAAAGCGTGAGGGAGGCGATGGCGTAATGGCATTGTTGCCAGACTATTAATCCAGAGGTCCAGGTAATGTTCTGGGTACCTGAGTTCAAATCTTGCCATGGCCGATGGTGGAATTTAGTTTCAATAAAAATCTGGAATTGAGAGTCCCGTGATGGCCATGAAACTGTTATTGATTGTTGGAAAAAGCCATCTGGTTCACTGATATCCCTTGTGGAAGGAAACTGCTTAACTTGATCTGATTTGGCCTATATGTGACTCCAGAGCCACAACAATGTGTTTCATAATAACTGCCCTGTGAGCAATTAGGGATGGGCAATAAATGCTGGCCTAGCTAGTGCCATCCACATCCTGGAAATGAATAAAATACTTCCCCAAGTGAGCAATAACACTCCAGGAGCTTAATACCTTTGATTTGTATCCTATCTATCCCCTCGAACATTCACTCCATCCACCAGCAATGAACAGTTGCAGCAGCGTTTGGCATCTACAAAACCAAAAGTATGACTGTTGCCACCCTGAGGAACAGGGCAACAGATAGCGCCAGGGACTTAGGTTCAATTCCACCCTGGGGCGACTGTGTGGAGTTTACACATTCTCCCCATATCTGTGCGAGTTTCCTCTCGGTGCTCCAGTTTCCTTCCACAGTCTAAATATGTGCAGGTTCGGTGAATTGGCCATGCTAAATTGTCCATAGTGTCCAGGAATGTGCAGGCGAGGTGGATTAGCCATGGTGAATATGGGGTTTCAGGGATAGGGAGAGGAGGGCAGGGTGGTGGATCTAGGTGGGTTACTCTTCAGAGGGTCGGTCTGGACTCGATGGGCCAAATGGCATGCTTTCACATTGTAATGATCCAGTGATCTTCTGTGATCTATGATATTGAGATCAATTAAGTTTGGAGACCCACGCATCACGTGAATTAATTGGCTTCATTTTGGTAACTAATGAGGCTCCCCCAGGCTCAGGGTACAGTTTGGTTGCAGAATCAGAATTGTGCTTAAAGCAGCAAGTAGCTTCTTATCTGATTTCCCTCACTGAAATGAGTCTGACTGGATTGCTGATTCTCACATTGGTATTTAGGATAGTCCTCACGATAAAGAATTGCCTTTTCAGATTTGAAAATAATACACCCGCTGCTTGAGTCAGCTGTGGTGATGTTTGCTAAGAGGTGGGCCAAGGTAACTTGCGCTTGATTCGATTTAAACTTCTGGTGCCTAGTTTTGAATATCAAATTTAAGTGTACATTTCTTCCACAGCTCGAAATCAGAGCTTTGATGTGGTGCTGGTGGACACTGCAGGCCGAATGCAGGACAACACCCCTTTGATGACTGCACTTGCCAAACTCATTGCCATTAATGTGCCGGATCTGGTGCTTTTTGTTGGTGAAGCATTGGTGGGGAATGAGGCAGTAGATCAATTGGTGAGTATCAGCTGCTGCTTGTTACCTAGTAGTTCCATCTGTGTACCACATGACAGGAATTACTTAACTCCTTTAGTCTCCAGTGTGGGAATTTGACAACAGGAGCAAACAGCTTGTGTCCCATTCTGATTCAGCCACCCAACAAGAGACATCGATAGCTCTGCCCTCCCTGACTTTCAACAATTTTTGAAATTATACCTTTATTTGCCTCTCTTGTTGTCTTGACGTGACTTGAGTGTTACCCTTTTGAATATATATATCTCACCATAGGGAATTCATGGTTTTAACTAAACAATCGAAACAGATGGAGTAAAGTTGCAACATGGATACAAATTGGCTGAGTGATAGGAAACAGAGTGATAGTTAGTGGCTATTTCTGGGGCTGTAGAAAGTTGTGTTTTGGAGTTCCTCAGGAGTCAGTATTGGGACCCTTGTTTTTCCTGGTTTATATGAATGAACTAGATCTTGGGAGTTCCAAGGGACGATTTCAAAGTGTGGACAATGCAAAACTTGGCAATGTTGTAAATTGTGAGAAGGACAGTGTAGAATTTCAGACATTGACGAGGTGGAGTGGGCAGATAGGTGGCAGATTAATTTCGAGTATTTGAGATGATATGTTTCAGTACAAAGAACCTAGAGAGTATAAAGGGTACCACTGTAAAGGGTGTGTAGGAGCAAAGAAATCTGGTGTGACAAAACATGTACTGTGATGATACTGTGGCTTTAAGATGTGAATTTTGTCCTTTTTTTGTATGAAGAGAAGTTGAGCCGGAGGTGCTCAGTGGTCTACTTCAAGCCAGTAAACAGCTTGCGAAGCCTTTGGGATTTTTAAAGAAGCAGCCTGAATGGTGTGGTCAAGCTCCCACAGAGCCAGGATTTTAGTTTAGTCTTCAGCAGTTGCTACAGTCTTGAAACTGGATTGGAAGTTATTATTTCTCTCTCTGTTACAGCTAAAAGCTGGGGATTTTTTCCTGCTGCTAAAATTGCAAGTGATACAATCTATTTTGCTGAATTTGCCTTTGCCAAGGGTATGTTTATGGGATATACCTCTGTTGGAACAGTTACTGCTTTGTAGTTAAATAATCTATTATTCTGTTAAGTTTTCTAGTATTCCAATTCTTCTTTCATTTGTTTTATTTTAACTAGAATGTATGAATAAAATGTGTTTTGCTTCAAGCCGGGTAGTTTGACCAATCGAATTGCATCTGAAATGCAGCGCCTGGCACTTGCCTTCAAAATAAGAAAAATATAGGGTCCAGGCCATCTCTTTAACATGTTTTGAGGAGGTTTGATCTGTTCCATAACAGCATATAGGACATTCACTAAAGCTGGTAGGCCAGGTGGAGAGAGTGTTCAGTAAGTAAATCATGCTGTGTCTT